TCATTTAATGTTAAATAACAACAGCTAACCATTGTATTGCCAAACAGTTATATTTATCGAATCTGCTATTTATCATTCGCTATCGACTTTTCGCTATCCACTAACCGACTTTTCGCTATCCACTAACCGCCACCGGCTACCCATTACTGCTATCCGCTACCTGTTATCCGTTATCCGCTGAATTTTAACCATTGTACCAAACAGATCCTTATTTAGTAACTTCAATTAAATTAGGTCACATTATTAATCAAATTCTAATCTCAAAATTTAGTCTTCTTATTTCTTTGGTTTTATACAGGTCGAAAAAAACGAGTACTTTTCTCATTAGGAAAAAAACTACTCTCGAGTCTCGACTCCTAAATATTGGTCGTTTTAAGCATTTTCACTTAGATTAAAAGCAATTAATCACTCCAACTTTTAACAATAAATATATTTAAGGTACCATTTTATCCTTCTCTCTCCACTTCAATTTTTAAGTTTTACTAATGGTAAAAACCCTTTTTAAGCCCCCAAATTTATGTCAAAATAGTATTTAAACTCCTAAACTGAAAATAAAGCAAATAAACCTCCAACTCTACAAATAAACCTCCAACTCTACAAATAAACCCTTCTCACAAATTGATCAAATGATATTTCATGTTTAATATCACCTTAAAACCATGAATATTCATAAATGAGAAGAACTTATTTGCATTATGAGTGGAGTTGGAGTTTTTGGTTTAGGGGCTTCAACGTTATTTTAGGATAAGTTTAGGGATTTAAAAAGGATTTTTGCCTTTACTAATTCATCTCCCTCAATTTTATCAATTTCTCTCCTCCAAATTCATCGTTAATTTGGGTGGCTTGGAAAAAATTTTCCACTCATTCTTTAATCTCATTCCTCAAAACTTTTCATTCTAAATTTTGTTTCCTTTTGGTTTCCACCAAAAATTACTTTATACAAGGAACAATTTGGTTTCTCTCAATTTGGAGTCAGCGGGAAGAAGAAAAAAGGGTAGAAAACCACCCCAAATGAGGGGTAGATATAGTCCCTCACCAAATGTTAAAAATCATATCAACAGTATCTAGTTCATGAGAAAACAGTCAAATGGGGTAGAGGTAGTTAGTCGGCAAATGCTAGAAATCATGGGTTTTTTCATCTGTACCCTTAGCCTTAGTTACAGTATAAAAAGATATAATAAATATATTATTTTATAATTAATTTATATAAAAAATTTATAAAATTTAATATATATTTTAATATCGTTGATACTTTGGTAACTTTAATTAGTTAATTAATTAAATTGAAATTAATATTTATATTTTTAAAAAAATTAATTATAAAAAATATATTTATTATATATTTATAATTTATTTTAAGGATATAAGATAGAAAAATCCACCTTTAAATGGTAAAAGGGTCCATTAAAATAAAAGGTAGAAAAAAGAAAAAAAATAGGCCCTACATATATAATAATAAATTTATGATAAATTTAATAAAAATAAAATTTACAATATTTTATATATTTAATAA